GTTGCCTCTTCCTCGAACGGAAAGAAGTAGAAGCCGTCAAAGAGGAAAGCCAAGTTTCTAGGCAGTATCCAATCCTGAGGGTGTCGACGAGGAGGAGGAGGCCAATTTTGTTTGTGACACACGGTCTTAGACCGCACCCTTCCCGTGCTTTTAGGGCCAGTACTAAGGAGTAAGAATATTAACAAAGAAAACAAACTAGATTTATTAAGACGGTGGTAGAGGAGTCACGGATTGCAACAATCCAACCTCGAAAAAGGAGTGTGGGAAAGTTGGACAGAGGAGGGAAGTATGTAAATGCAATTGAATCAATGGAGAGATGCACATACACTACATACATATTATCGCATAGTGTACCTACATAGGTAGGTACCTACAGAAAACAAGCTAGGATCTAAACAACATAAGGTATGTACTAAGGTAGCTACCTAAGGTACCAAATGCATTGTACCTACCTACCTAGGCAAGCGTTACAATAACCCTTGAAGGGTCTAATAGGTTACCTAGGCAGGTAGGTACCTAGATACATAAACACGACTTAGTTTACAGGGCCGAAACGCGCTAATTAATAAGTCTCTTGTGCCACGCATGCAAGTTCCCCCCAAGGTGAAGCGAAATGGTTGCACCCCGAGTCAATCGCATCTAGCCACCTGCAATTACTAACTTTATTATGCTTGCCCGCCTGCCCGCTAAGATACCTACCTACTTGACGGATTGACGGACCTAAAAACATTAAACCTTCCGTGATCGTAAAAGAAATCGGGACAACGCCTCCTAATAGCATCACCATCAACACAGTACATATACATACATACCTAAGACAGGTTATTTAAATGTATTGCGCCAAGGTCCCATAGTACCAGCATCAGCATGACGGGAAACTCTTTAGCATTGTTAATTTGTCACTTGGCACAACAAAACCTGAACAGCGTGGTCGGTCTTGGTAAGCCTTGGTAAATTACAACAGACAAGAAAAGAAGGCCTGATCGTCGTGTCATACCCGCCCGTTTCTTCGATAGATGTTAATAAGACGGCACCTAACCTAGTGAGGTACCTACACCACGATACATACATTCATTCATGGGTACATATGTACATTGCATATGCAAATTGACCGTGGCACCGTGGGGACCTTCGGTTATTACTCGTCACGGTAAGTCAACGCAGCATTCGGCGAATTAGAGGGATCAGAAGATGGCTTGGCAAGGAGGCTGTGCTTTTGGAACGAAACCTCAACGATCGGATGCCCGTGTTTTTTTCGGATCCATCTCGATCCAGCTGAGGTCCATTTTGTTCTGCAATACATACGTAGGAGACCCTTTTGCCTTACTCAGGAGAAGGGAGGAAGTCCAAGATATCATGATTTTTTGAGAAGTGGGAACTAGTTGGACTTTAAATAGGCCATGTGGTTGAGTCCCTCTGTGTAACATAGTAACAACAAACTAATATACCTTTTTAAGGAGACATCACATATAGTTTACAAATTACCTTAGGTAGTTAATTAACTAGTAACTACATGTAACTAGGTTAGTTAGTTAGTTACATGCTTTTAGATATGTCGAGTTTGCAAATTCTTACTGCATATGCTAACCAACAGATATTAAAAACATGCAATATTAAACACCGCAAACATTCCTACTCTTTGTCGATTTATTCCCAGTTTTAACCCACCCCTATATGACTTTCTAGTTTGTCTCTTCTTTTCTTTTCTAATCCTCGAACACAGTTGCGGTTTCTACTTATGTATTAGTGTCTGACCTTGGTTAGGCTTTCATACCATGTACACACTATCACCTACCCCATAGATAGACCCAACTTCTACTTACCGTACTCCATACTTGGCAATATGCCTCGTGTGTTCGGCCAAGATGTTCCAAAAGCTGCTCTTCTCAGGGACGGCATATAAGTACACGCTGCACTTTTCGCGGATGTTGTAGCATACAACCCGCATCGTTGTCCATCATCACCGTCTTCCGACCTAAGACTGACCAACCCGGTAAGCAATATATCCTCCAAGTTTCAACTAGACCGGAAACAAACGTCACAGGGAATCAGCCTAGCCAGTCATATCAGCCTCGTTGTCGCGGGAAAGAAAGACCCAAAAGCATACATACATAGTAAATCACCAATAATACTCATAACAAGGATAAGGATGCTACGTAAGGAGCTGCACATATCAACAGCAAAACTTGCATGTTCCGTCCACGTGGGACGCTTGGAACCGTCTCTCATTGGGACATATGAAATGTCTTTTCTTATTCCTTTTCTGACTGCGTGGTAGACGGGCTAAATACTACCCTACGTCGTCTGTGTCAAAGCCTCATTTGTCCATAGGAAAGGAGGATGAGTGGCTTGCAGTCAGCAAACGTAGGCTCTTAGTAACATCCCCTTTCCTTTCCTTTTTTTCCCCCTTGGTGTAACTTTCCTATAACTTATTTTTACTCAAAAAAACCTCAAGTTGAACACCGGGAACAGGTCACGCTTTCGGTCATATCTTAAGGGGGAAATTTATTTATTCCCAAAGCAGTGTCAGCAACACAATTATAGCCGTACATATGCTACGCGCATAATATTTATTAGCCCAATTCGTACATAGGTAATAAAGACTTCCCCATGTGAAAATATGGGGAATAGCGGGTGCGTATTTCGCATCTATCGACGCGTTCCGCCAGTCCACGCCCTGGCCTTTTTCATTACACTATCATGACATTTACATAATGCTAATAAAATACACCCTAGCTTACATCATGCTGTCCATATACATACCGCATAATAACGTCGGCTATCATGAGCGATCTTCGGCTGTCGATCTTCTTAGATCTCCGTTACATAGAAAAAAGGTATCATTTCCGATCTCGACTTCACCGTGTATGGGGCCATTGTCAAGGCAGATTCTCCAACATGAAATGTTCGCAATCGACCCGTGTGTTCGGATGAAAATGGTACTACAAAAGACCGAGCATCCTAACGATCCTCTGTATCCCCTAAGACAAGGAAAATTTGTCGGGTGTGTAGCAGTAAGCTCTACATGGGATTAACATGGGAGTGTCGAGGGATTACAAGCTGTCCGTATCATAGGCATTTTTTACCGAACATTTTTTTTTCTCTCTTCAACTTGTGCATTCATCCCTTTACAAAAAGACTAGTAGCCTTCAAAGACCTCCAATGCATGGTTGCGGCTTAGCCGTAAATGTCTACTATGTATATTGCTCTTCATGTCATCAACATATGATGCTCTTCGTTCCAACTCCGTGAACAAAGTGGTAAAGAGATACGACGGTAAATATTAAATACCTAGGTTGTCAGGGCTAAAGAGCAGTCTCAACTTATGTAGATATCCCCGAGGTGAGGTACATACATACCTTAGGTACCTAGGTACCGTTGCTCATCGACTCATTATATTAAATTATCTGCTCGAGATACATCGCAATACATCTCTATATAGGGAACATTCATCTTACCAATGTATGGCCGAAACTTAATATAAAATCCATACATAGCAATGCGGCACTAAATCTGCAAACCGGGGGCACAGCAATTAACCTATGGGGTTCTGGAAATACACGCAGTGCAGAGCATGCCAAGGCTGGGGTTCTGTCGTCGGGCCATCATCGTCGCGAGCCGTCCTACATACATAGTAGCTTCAAGCACCTCCTCCCCTTCACGATACATATACCTAACCTAGCACATTCACTTCTATTGATACCTATCACTGGCACAACCCAAGAAGTGCACTTTGAAACGCACTACGAAGCACATGTGCAATAGATGATAAGAAGAGAGCCGTCATAAAACATACCCGCGGGGCGGTGCTCTCTGCCGTACACACTCGCACAAGATAGCATTATGTCCCGTTAGGAATCTCGAAATCTCAAATATCCTTGGCTCCTCACCATGGTGTCGGGTTGAAGCTGCATCTAGCCTGCCTAGCGCTGGTCAGCTCCGCGTGGCAGTGCTCGATAGTCGAGAGTCAGACATCTCATCCCGTCGCGCGCTCATTAAACTACTTAGGTTAATTGCTTGTTTACCGGCATCCCGCCGCATTAGATCGAGCGATTCTCGATAACTCGGGAACTACATAAAAACCAGGGACAATATCGCAACCGCCTAGCTGTATTAGTAAGGTGTACATGATAGGTATATCGATCTTTTACGAGGCCAAGATGTCAGGTCCTTGATAAGTTGGAAGAACCTTGGTACAAGCTCCTGTGGACCAAGACGGCCAAGCGTGTAGAAACAAACAAGCTTGGTTATGATACATCTTGGCTTTGCAGCCTCATGACTATTTCTCGGCGGCAACTATGCAACATCCTAATTAAGTTTCGCTTCATGCTACATAGGAGGGAGAGGTTGGGGCGACATCTCACCGCTCACCCTTAGTGCCTTAGGTACTTTACCTCGCAGAGAGTATCTACACATGTTGTTTCTCCCTCCCCTGACTGGCCTGGCTAAGTTGCCACGGATTGACAGAGAAGGCAAGACGACGTAGCCAATGTTTAACCTGGTTGTGAGAACGCATTAATAAAATCCCATAAGATCAGCAGCATAGCCACATACGCAGAAACTCCTATCTCCCTGTGCCATCCTACCGCAAGCCTTCAACGAGTAAGTTCCCCAGGCAAGAGGGAACATGTCCATAGTATAGGTAGTGCCAGAGTGCTAGAATTCTGTCCTCCATCCTCACATAGTGTCCGTCGTGTTCAACTACCCCCTTAACTCGTACAATATGTGAGCTTCCACCACATGGTGAACTGCCGTAGCCCTTACATCTCCATTGTCACCAGGCCAACACAGATCAAGCTTTCCTCGTGCGTGCTACACGAATGAGCATAGGTACCACATGTGTCATACGAGGTATGTACAATACCAGGGGAGGACGTACATAGATAGTTTGTGCCACTTGGACTCGGCCGCCAGCTCAGGGTGGTTACCGCTTCTTGTGATATTATATCCATTATGATGATACGAGAATAGGTATGGGAATAAAAGAATTATCGCTAGATGGACTTGGAAGGCACAAAAACAGCTTTGTTGTTAGGCAAGGAACTCGAAAGAAATTCTAGACCTATCTTAGACTACTAATATAGCCATGGCCTCTTTGCTTAAGTCACCTCAGTAGCCAGAGGGTAAACATCCTAACGTCCGTAATGCCTATAATGTTCCTTTTCTCAACGATTAACTTTAAACTCTGCATACTCTTGCCAAAGACAAACATCTATTCATCTATCTATCGATCTCTATACCATGCACACTCTCCTCTACCTCCCCAACTCGACCCTCCTAACAAGTACTAACCGATCCCCATCCTCCTCCTCGCCTCCATCCGCTCCTGCTCCCGCTCCCGCACCCACCTCCGAGCCATCCCCAAACCCTAAGAACGGCACCGCCGCACGCCTCAGCACCTCCTCCCAGAGCCCCTGCACCAAATCCTTGAGCTCGTCGCCTGTCTGTCGGAAGTCCGGGAACGCGTTGACCTCGAGGAGCCAGGCGGTGCCGTCGGCATCGACCAGGAAGTCGAGGCCGAAGACCTCGAACGCGTTGGCCAACGGCCGGAAGTGCATCTGCATAGCGCGTGCCGCCGCCTCGAACGCCTCGCCCGTCACCGCGCAGATCTGCGCGAACACGTCTGCCTTCCGCTGCTGCGGCAGCGGCAAGTCCCAGAACCGTCGGACCGTGCCGTCGTCGACTGACCGCTGTAGGCACGTGTTGGTCAGATGGGCCTCGAGGTCGACGGACGACGTGTTGGTGGCGGTGGCGGGCGCAGTGTAAGGCTTGCCCGCAAAGAGCGCTAGCATATCCTTGTACACGTAGACATCCAATCGACCAATGCAGGCGACGTACGTACGGATGTGGAACTTGCGGTTATCGCCGGGCAATAGAAGTGGTGGGTGTATGTACGGCTGAGCTACGAAGTGACGAAGATGCGAGGTAGTGATATCATTGCGCCTCTCGGGATCGGAATTCGAGACCGCGTCATCCCCTCGGTTCCCATCGTTCCTAGTATCATCCTCATCCTCGCTATCCGGTAGGTCCTCTTCCCATTCGTCAAATATGCCTTGTAGATCTTCCATCGTGCTAAATAACCGGATGCCTTGTCCCCTATCGCTCATACTGGGCTTGAGAATCCACCATTCGATTTCGTGGCCTGGTTCCTGCTCTGTATTTTTCTCCAGGCTTGCACGTAAGTCAAAAGCCTCGACAAGGGCGTCATCTAGGAATTCGGCATAATCTAACTCGAATGCCTCGCTCCTTTTGACGTGTGTTTTCAACACTGACTCGGGGCGCTTAGCTACCCACTGCTCAACGGTTGCCGATAGGTAATGCTTTCGTATCAACGCCTTACGCAGCATGTAGCTATTTACTATACATTTCTCTGCATGCGAGTCTACATAGTCCCAGTCGATGGCTTCGTAGGGTGTAATTTGTAGGACAGGACTATTGCTGTTTTCTGGTAATAGCTTGCTCAGCGGTACAGGTTCACCCTGGACCACTAAGTCGGGTATCGAGAGTAAAGTGTATGACTCAGGAGAAAAGAACTTCTTTAGGGCAGATAGTATAAGTGGTTGGACATAGGGGTCTTCGTAGGCGATCAAGGCGTAAAAATGTTGCTTGGGTCGGTATATCAAGGTCGATGTAGACATTGCCATTCCTGAGGTGTCCGACATATCCCTGGAGAAGATATCGTGAGAACGGCGATCAAGGATGTACGTACATCACAAGCATTCGACATCTGTAGAACACTCAACAACCTCTTCGCCATAGCTCACCTCTTTAATATGATGTAACTAGAAGATGATGAGGTTTTGTCTATCTGATGGACTGGTTATGCGGCCACACAAGCTCCAGCTGTCTATAATGCTGCCATCCAAAACCAAATGCAATGCAGTAGACTCAACTCACAGTTTCAACTCCTCTCCATGTAGATGCGTTGCCGTATGATAAAAATTTGCTTTCATTGGTGTTACACTGCATCGTTGGTTAGGCTCGGGTACAAATATAGCCGTTGACGTTGACGCCGTCGACGTCGTCAATATAAAGGAGATCAGATCTTGACTTACCTTGTGAAACCTTCCTTCACCGCCCACCCATCATTCCCTGGCGGCGACTCCTCAACACTTTTATAAACATCCGCAAACTTCGGCGCCCACTTGAAATGTCTGTGTTTATACCGTGTCTGACCCGTCTCATCACCCTCGCTATTTGTTTTCGGATCGACGCCGCCGGATGCTCCCGCTTCTTCTCCCTCTCTTATTCTCTCTTCTTCCTCTTCCTCGTCGCCAACACTTCCCTCAACCTCCTCGAAACAGACACTTGATTCACCCCAATAATTTTGCAGCATTTCTGTCCACAGCGTTTTATGTTCGTCAACACCTTCGATGAGTGGTACGTTGACCGAATACAGGTCAACACTCTTGTCTGTCGGCCACTGAGCATACAACTTCTCGATGACACGCACACTATGCCGGGTAGCGGCATCGATGATTGTGGGGTCGTGGTTACGGCTGAAGAATGCGTAGCTCAAAGCAATAGCTTTCCTTCTACACACGGCGGCTTCGAGTGCGCCACCTAACGTACCAGAGCTCAGTGCGAACACGGCCGTCGTATTCCGACCATAGTTAGGACCCGACACTACAAGGTCAACAGGGCCCTTTTCGCGGAAGAAATGGTACAGGCCGATCTGGGCGCAACTTGCTGGTGTTCCGTCGACAAGAATCCATTCTTCTTCTTTGCTGTCCTTGCTTGGACGTGTGTATACAGTCCCCTGAGCTCGAGAGGCAGCGCTGGGCAACGGGTCGAAGGTCGCAGATGGACGATAGTAGAGAGGTTTCACGGTCTGGCCGATCATGTGAGCCTTCCCAATCCAGGAACGTTGGGCGTGTGGTAAGCAAACGGAGACAGTATGCCCCCTTTTTTGAAGCTCTCGGACTAGACTATGTACGTAAGGCGACGAAGTCGGAGACGGTGGACCGTCGTCGTTGGTAACTAATATATGCATGGTAAAGCAGTCGTATGGTTATTTTATACAAAACTTTTGGGCCAATTGGAGTTGCTAAGACCACAGATGGCTGTTGCAACGTACTAGACCTTTCTGATATTAAAGAATGACTGATCGAAGTGATGTGTTGATAAATTGAATATGTGGCAGTCGAAAGTTGGGTACGTCTATGGGAAGATGCGAAGATGAAATTTAGGCGGGGGCGGGGCAAAGGAATTGCACCTTCATTCAGGTTGTTTATACCTTATACCACAAGTACACTACATGACGTGATACCTAAATCGCCTAGTACGACTTCCTTTGCCTAAATAAAGCAGTTAGGTTAGGTAGGCACACTCATATGGATATCCTATACTGCGTACCTACCTAGGTTACCTACCTACCTAGGTACGTATGTATAGCAACTACCTAACCTCGAATCTTTCAATGGCAAATACCTAACATGTACCGTACCTAGGTATGCTCTCTAATATGACGAACATGTAGACCCTTATATGCCTAACACACTAACACACATGTAGCTACCTAGCTATAAATAGGACATATACGCCATGTACACAACATCTCTACATTTTCTAAACATGAATATAGTGAAATTACACTTATACTCTAGAGGTTAAATACATTTAATTTTTAATTAGACCTCCAGCACACAAAAGAGAGCAAGTCAATAATAACTATTTAATTCACACTGCTTTTAAGGCAAAATCCGGACAAGTCATTTTACCTGAATCACATTTGGTACATCAGGTATATAATAACCAGGGATATCGGCAACGTGCGTAAATTGATTTATCTGATAGCAATACGTAGCTAGACTGCTAAAGGATGCAAGGTATAAGTAAAGCAAATAACCTCGTCCTGCTGTCGGCGATGTCGTTGTCGGCGATGTGAATCTATAAGAATAGGTACAAAAAGCTCAAAAGCTCAACCCGCCAATCACAATAGTAAACCTCCCCTGTCCAACGCAATAATAATCTTCAACCTTGCTAGAAAACACTCGATTCATTCTGAGGCAAAGCTAATTATCTGAGCCCACCACCTGCAACAATTAACATGGCTGGATTCTTAGTCCAACAACGCATCTACATAGCAATAGCAACCCTTTCTGTGGCTTTTCTTGACCAAGTCACCTTTACCATACGGGGAACAACGCCCAACACCTCTTGGTAAAACCAAGCTTTCCGTTTCAGACCCTTACTGCACCGAAATGTACTGAAATGTACCGAATTTCCTCCCATCCAAAACCACAAAGGGGAAAGGGGAACACCAAGAAACTTAGGCCGAGGATTTTCGTAGCCTGATTCCATCGAGATTTCCCAACTGCTGCAGACGAGTCATAGTATCGCTCAAAGCCGCCGACTAGGCACGCTGGCGCTTAGACGACTCGTTCGGTCTGGCCAAGTCCTCGCCCTCTCGCTTCTGACCATGTGCAGCAGCAGCACGACTCTTAGAGCGACGCCAGCCATCGAAGGGGCTGCGCGACTTGGTGACCTTCATGGGTGATTCGACGGCCTTGGCGTGTAAAGCAGTGCGTCGAGTTCGAACTGTGCTGGGAGGAGAAGCAGGTGCGAATCTGGGTGCAGTAGGAGTGCCTGGCTTCTCAGCGACCTTGGCGGTAGGAGTTGTAGGAGCCTCGATTTCATCCTCCTCTTCCACATCCTTGAACACGTGATCTTCGATATCCGTGGCAGCTTCCTCGTCATCTGTAGTCGGCTTGGCAACATTCTTGCCCTTGGTAGGGAAGAGGAGACGCGGTTTGATAGACGAGCGGGTCAACGGACGTAGTCGCTCGTGAGCTCTGCTTAGCTCTACCTCCTCGCTCTCGCTACTGAATTCATCCGAATCTACATCCTCACTAGACGAAAACTTGCGGAAGATCTTCTTCCCTCGGCTATATAAAAATATTTATTAGCATAGGTTAATTAAAATGCGGGTAGATTAGATTTGGGACGATAATGGGATGATAACTTACAAAACATAGATGATTCCATCCTCTCGTTGCAGAACTTCGTCGAGAGGCTGTTTGCCTTCACCAGGGACGGAAATCTGCTTGCCTTGGCCTCGCTTCTTGGGAGACTTGGGTTCCGCAGTAGACGACGCGGGATGCTTCTCGTAGAAAGGATTAGCAGCAGTGTCGTCTGCCTCGGGGATGCGGTCGCGCGTATCGGTGAAGATCTCGATGGGTTGTTCGATGTCTTCAGCAGTGAAGCTATCTAGTGTTAGGCCGGTGTACTTCTTAGCCTTTCTTTTCTTAGGAGTTGCAATTGCATCGGCCTCGGGGAATAGACTGCGTGCGATCGCGCGAACATTAGCCTTAGACTTCTCGTCGGGCTGCTTCTTGGGTGTTTTGGCCGGAGTGGGGAACATAGTTGCGGCTCGAGAAGCGGCGGTGCTGGCCTTGGATTTGTGCTGCGACGAAGAAATTCCAAGGGAATCGGCAGCGTTGGAGGTGCCTTCGTAAGTTAAGGCGCCAGAGGCGCGTCGTACGGAGTCCATGGCCGGCTGTCGCTTTTTGGGAGAAGAAGTGGCGGGAGTAGCAAAAATATCCGACGAGGAAACCCTTGTAGATGCGCGAGTGCGGTGTTGCGGAGCGCGGGGAGAAGGCGTGCGTTGAGTTGAGCGCTGAGCTGAAATGCGGGCAGATTTTCGGGGAGAGAAAGGTTCCCAAGAATCGTTGTAACCGAATTTTGGAGTGCCTGGAGTATGCACTCGGCCTGGAGGGGAGGGTGTTGAGACTGAGAAAGACGCCATTGTTGTTTGCTTTAAAGCAGCGTTCTTTAAGCTCAGTTGGATATTTAGAAGTCCGCACGATGGGTGCGGGCTAGATTTCGGGGTTTCAAGTATCGCAGTATCCTTCGACTCATGGAATATCGATATTCTTTAAACTTTTACGCGTTGGCTCGATTGAACACGGCTTGACTTGAGTGCAAAGTTGAAAATCGATGTTTAGTGCGAAGAGGGCAATAGGCAAGACCAAGAATGGATGAGTAACGATTAGGCAGCTAAACAAGGGGCGATCGCGTCCGGTTTGCTTTTTTGCTTTTTTGCTTTTTTGCTTGTTACCTCTGTCCTCGACTTGCGGTTGCTTGCGAAACCGAATTAAAGTAGTAATATGTTGATATAATGATCAGTAGCGATGAGTTACAGTGGTGCTAGACGTGGTAACAAGCCAAGTTGACTAAGTCTAACGACAAGGAGCGTAGAGACGAAATGGTGTTGGTGGCTTGATGCGTGGGAACGAAGTCGTAGTGGGAATTTTGATCAAATTAGGGATATGGGTGGTAGGATGTGAAAGTTTGAAGTGGCTGGGTTGCCCAGACTTACATACCTAGACTTTCGGGGGGGATACCTCGAACTATCCCAACTTGCAGTGGAACGTGCGGTAGTCGCTGCCAAATTACTTGGGTACCTATTATGACATTTCACTAGCGACCCCCCTGTTTACTTTAATGTAATTGTTACGAAGTACTTATCGAAAGCGCTTGATTTTCGTGGTGTGGCATGTACTCTTCATAGTTTTACGGTACAAATCGCACGGTGCCTTAAAAGTGACATATTTGTATGTATCTGCGTACCTTTTGCGACGCGTTATGCGCATCCTGTGTGTATGTATGTACGCGTCGCAAAGGTTAGCCCCACCAAAAATTGGAGGGCTAAAAGTATGTCGATAACTAAAGGCATTTGAGTTCAATTGGCCAATTTAGAAGCCAGCACACGGCCGTCTCCACAAACCAGAACGCAAAACATTGCCAGACTGCTGCATGACAACACATGTCAACAAAATTTGTCTTAAAAAATGCCTTAGACACCAAGGAAGGTTAGCCTCAGGAAGACACATAGAACATAGAAGGGTTAGAAGGTTGCAACTACTATGTACAACCTATTGCAACCTACGTACGTCATTACTAAGTTCGTAAACCACCATTGGAGCCGCTTTGGGAAATAATTAAATCTATTGGCCGCTTATCTGCCGCTTGTCTACCCCTGGATTAATCATTAGCTACATAGCTACCTACCTACCCCTCCACTCCGCCTATCACCAATCGCAGCAGCTATTACGGTATCGGTATCGTGCTGCAGTAACGCACTATTTCTCTTCCTCGCCTCGCAGCTATGTCCGATCACGAATCTGATACTGAGGATCTCTTTGCCTCGCCCTCTGCAAAGCACGCTTCTAGAGAAAGACCAGCTCGACCTAAAACCCCCTCTAACCCCCCGAATAATCGCCTGAATAATCGCTATGATGATCCGGAAGAGAGCCGCGAGGCAAACCTGCGTCGGGAGCTAGAAGGCGTTCGGAACATCAATGAGCTGATCGAGGGCGTAGTCGGGACTCTAGAGCGGGCGAAGGGCAATATGCACGTACGACTATATTTACTTCTTACTCCTTACTCATCTTCATCCCTATATGCTTCCAATATGACGCCCGTGGCTATATCCCTGGCTACTAGCTACCTCTCCCTCCCCGCATGAGCGCAACTAAGCTGACTCAACCGTCTACCCCTTAGACTGTCTCTAGTACCGTCAGCACCGCATCCACGCTCCTCAATACCTGGACGCGCATCCTGTCGCAGACCGAACACAACCAGCGACTCATCCTGAGCCCTTCTTGGAAAGGCGCGAGCCAGGACTTAGCCGACGCGGAAGCCGAGGCCCAGCAGAAGGCGCGCGAAGCTGAACGCCGCTCTGCCGAAGATGAGCGTCGTCGCGCCGAATCTAGACGCCGCCACGAGGAAGAACAGCGCCAGCGCGAAACCGCTACCAGCACGCGCAGCTCAGCTAGCACTAGAGGGACGGCACGCGGAACGAGGAGCGGCAGGAGCATTAGTACCAGAGGCAGAGGGACGACAACAGGGCGAAGCGTGTACTCGTCCGCGTCCAGCAGACCTACATCCGCAGCAGACACAAGCTCGACGAGTACGGCTAGAGGGACCTCGGGGATTGGCCGAGGGTTTTTAAGAGGAAGGTCGAGAGGGACACGAGGCTATTAGTTAAAAAGGGGGACGGATATGACAAAGCTTTGAAAGGCTTGATTTGATGATTATGCCGCTGTCTCAGATATACACGAATGATGAACGGGCACACATGTCCAAAGACTAAACCTAGCCCAAGCCCAAGCCCAAATACTATACACATTTGATGACATATACCGCTTCTAAACGCCGGTACTTATTCTTATTTTTTATTCCAAGCCTACTTTTTCTTGAAGAAATCACTCATCTTCTTCATCCCCACCGTATTCACCTTCTTTAGATCTCTCACGCCCCTGCTCTCGCCGGCCTTCTTCCGCTTCTCGTCCTCTTCTTTCCGGCGCTTCTTCTCGGCGCGATCTGCTAGCTCATCGTCGTCTAACACGCGTTTTCGTGAGTAGTCACCCACGCTGCGCGCCGCAGCCAGCTCCTGTCGTAGCTTGCTAATATCCTCTAGATATGTGTCTAGAGGCGTGAAGTCGACTGCTGGGGGTTTCTGCTCCTTGAGCTTCTCCTGTAATTGTGTGGCTTGTGACGGGGCAATGTAGCATGAGCAGATGAAGTTGAAGGCCGTGCGGAAGCGTTGTAGTTTTATGATTTCTGGAGAGGCGCCGTGTGAGGGTGTTGGTTCTGTGGCAGTCGTAGTGGTTATCGACTCTTCGACGACTGAGGTAGCAGTTGTAGATGCTTCCGATACGAGGGTTGTAGTTGTTTCTGTAGACGAGGTAGAAGATTGACTTTCGACAGACTCGGGTTTGGGAGTCGATGCTGTTGAGGTTGACGCCGGGGTCTCTGCTTGCGCCTGTGTTCGTGTTTCCGTCTGCTGTGAGATAGACAGTGTCGTCGTGTTCTCTCTTTTCATACCCACAACCGGCGCTTCTAGAGCTTTAGCCACAAACCTTTCCTCCATACTTTTCGGTAAGGGTTGCTCGCTCATCTTCTGCGCCTTGCTCAGGACTTCGGTTAAGAGCTTGTCTTCGCTGAAACGGAACATGGACTCGTTGCCTGCATCTACCGTATCGCATATTGCGGCCATCCGGGACTCTAGTAATGCCCGTACATTCCCCCATCGCAATATCTCGGATAGATGTGGAGACTTGCCGCGTATGGAGTCGAGGTGGTCGTCGCTAGACACAAACATCCGTTTCCCATCTTTGGTATTTACTGATTGGTCTGCAAATGCAGGCAGGAGAAGGAACATAGGATCGATGAGGGTCGCGACGTACAGGTCAGCGCCTTTAGTGATATAAGCGCCAAGGTCAGCGTCATCTTTGCTTGTCTTCTCTTCCACTTTGCCCGTATCACCGCATTCTATGAACCAGCTTCTGGGCGTTGACTTGGGCGCAGCGATCCTAGTGAATTCGTATATGCCAGTCTCGGGGCATACTAGATACCTCGTCGGTTTTGAATATCTTGGGTTTAATAGGGAGACGATTTTCGCGTCTTTGGTAGCACTGGTAGGAAGAATGAAGAGCTTGGGTGGATTTATAGATTCTGTAGGCAATGTGTATTTTGATTTGGTGTTTGAGGCCGTCGACTTGGTATCTGATGTTGCGGCAGCTGATGCGCTCGTCTTTGACCTAGTTGTCCTCGCCATGCTGTTGAATTGGTATGTTCTTATCTAAGATGAGGCATTCGGGTTTGAATAGTTATGTATTATACCTCGTTCTTTTTAGAGTGATAATAGTATTGATAGTAGTAAATTAGCATTGTACACTAGATCAAGCTTAAAGATCATCAAGCTTAAAGATCATCAAGCTTAAAGATCTAGGTTAATCAATTCTCCTATCCTATCAATGGGGATTTCAAGGGGATTTTCTTATGTAAGGTTAGGTACTTAGATATACCTACCTAGGTATGTAACAATTGAAGGCTTTATGTAATAAGGTATCGATAACCCCTGTTAACGCGCTCTGATGCAAAGTCGCGTCTTACTAAAATGGAAAAATCGCGTCTCCACTATGCCAATCATCCGCTGTCATTTTAGATCTTAGGTAACTCTGGCTGCCCATGGCTACCCGTGTACCGACCTACACTTTAAGTCACTTATCGATATTCAAAGTACATCCATACTTACATGTATTTTGTATTCTTCATGTTGTAATACTAAACCATTTGCGAACCATCGTTTATACAATTCTCAGGTTTACTTTTACCACAATTATCCAAGTTCAACTTTAACGGATGCATTGATTCTGCGGCGGTGTAGAATACACTCTTAGTTGGACCTACCTACAACCAAACACTTGCTTTCACCCTAGACGATCTGCCACGCATCTGTTCTATATTTGTTAGTATATGATATTATACTAAGACCAAAGCCAGCAAAGGCGCCGGACCCCTGCAGGTTTCGAAGTGGAGGGGACATAACCATAACTTCATAATTTCTGTTACTACATAGGTACTGGGCAAACACGGTGGATGGGAGACAACGAATGATGATCACGATACTTCCTTCTATACTCTAATGGCGCCGACGTTATCGCTCTACTCTAGCAACGACGTCAAACTGTATATCACAAAATGGCAGGACCCGGTATAGAGTCCGAGACTCAATGGCCCCCGCGATCTCCACACGACGTTCTCCTTAGCACACCTAAGGGACGCGAAAAGCTACGTCGCATGGCCGAGCGATTGTCACCATCGCCGTCTCCGAGTAGGATACATCGACAGAAACCCGCGCTGTCTACTCGGACTGGAAACTCTTTTCGCGGCGGCACACAAAACGCTGGAATGTATATGGATGGGAACGAAGACGACGATGAAGATGAGGACGAGGAGATGCTGCAATTGAAGCTGCAAGCAATTGAGGCAAAACTCAAGCTGAAGAAATTGCAAAGCGCCAAGGCAAAGAGGGCCCTCGGAGATAGTACTACGACACGGCCTAAATCCATGTCCATATCAGACGTTCCAATCACTAGCAGAGCTCGCGCTCGAGCAGATTCGTTGCATTCAGGCCCGACGACACGACCACAGTCGCAAATGGAAGTTCAAGTTCCAGCATCCCCGGTGAGGAGAGCGCAAACAGCGCAAGACGACGGCTCCCCTAGTAGGGTACGTCTTGGCATAGACAAGGGAATCAAGGCGAAAGACATATCGCTGAAGAGAGCCCCGAGCTTTAAGAGGACTACCGAGGCCCAAAATGGAGCCCAGGGAGGATATCTTCGAAGAGCGCATACACCCGCTCCCGGCGGTGCTGAGCAACAGACAAAACAGGAACGGCCGATGACTTTCAGCGAGAGACTAGCCGCGGCTAGGTCAGAGGAGTCAACTCGGCTAGAGAGGCAGGAAAGGGTGAGGCAGGCAAGGAGTAACGCCTTTGAGCTCGGCAGACAGGAGATGGAGCAGTTAAAAAGCGCTGCGAAGGATATACCCGACATCCCATTACAACCCGAACAGTATAGCCGTGAACAAGTTATGGCCAGTAGTCGGGTTAAGCGTAGTGATACCGTTTCTAGCCTAAGACGGCCCACGCTGGATGAGAACCGCCCAGGGACCAGCTCAGGAGTGACCGTGGAACCTCAAGCACCTCCTGAAGAAGTGCCGGAAGAGGAAGCCTCTGCATTTGAACCATACTCAAGTGTTCATCTCTCGAAGCGAGTGATACCACACACGACCCTTACCCGGAACCTGTCAGGTAAGAAGACATACGTGATAAAAGATATATTAAAACACGTCAAGGCGCCAGATTTTCAGCTCCCGGAGATCGAACAGGACATAGTAGTCTTCGGTATCCTAGCTTCTAAGTCCGACCCTCGTTCGCATAAAACCCCAAACAACAACTTAAAGGAAAAGGTTGAGACTGACCCGGCCAGGGGAAAGTACATGGTTTTACAGCTTGTGGATTTACAATGGGAACTCGAACTCTTTCTTTTTGGTTCTGGCTTTGATCGATATTGGAAATTGGTTCCAGGTACACTTCTGGCCATCTTGAATCCAAATGTCATGCCGCCGCCGCCAGGCCGCACCGATACAGGGCGCTTCAGTCTAGTGATCAACAGTGGCGAGGATACCATTCTAGAGATAGGTACAGCACGAGACCTTGGGTTCTGTAAGAGCATAAAAAAGGATGGGGATCACTGTAATAGTTGGGTTAACCGCAAGCGCACCGAGTTCTGCGAGTTCCACATGAATATGGGCCTAGCCAAGCATCGACAGGCCCGACAAGACGTGAATGCGTTCAACACCGGACTCGGCCCAAGGAAGGACGACGGAGATGGTAGGAGATACAAGAAATCGTACCGTCTTAACGACTGGGAGCACGCCAACGACACCAAGAAGAAGAGCAGGGGCAACTTCGACAGAAGCACGCAAAGCCAGTGGTACATCTCCAAGCCGAGCGCTGCCAGTATGCTCGACAACGAGATACTAGGCGGACAGATTGCTGATCGCACCGAGCGCAGCGAAGCCCTAAAGAGACGCCTCGCAACCCAAGAAAAGGAGCGTGATATCATGAAACAGCTAGGCAAGGTCGGGTCTGGCGCCGGCAAAGAGTACATGAAAAGGGGTAGTAATAGCAGCACTCAACGCTCGGCTTCAGGCTCTAGCCTACTATTCGCAACCTCGTCGACACAAGCCGGCGGAGACGAGCCCAGGCAAGATCTCGACGCCAGATCCCTCGGCCTAGTCCGCGAGAAGGGCCAGGAACCTAAGATGCACCTCAGCCCTATAAAACGCAAGCGCAGCGAAGGCGTGCGACCATCCTCCAGTTCTGCGGCCCTCACTAGTAGCAAGCCCGCGCTCGGTTGGGGCGGCAACCTGAAGGAGAAACTAAATCGCATGAGAGACGGCGAGAAATTACGGCCCGCGATAAACCTGAATTCAAGTAGCGATGGGATCGGGAATGCAGACAACGACGGTAGTAGCGTTAGTGTCGGCGCCGCCAGTAGCTCTGCCTCTAGGTCCCCGGCTCGCAAGAAGACGCGCTTCGTCACGGAAAAAGGCATTCGCGAGGCCGGGCGCGAGAGTCTCGGCGCGGAGCTAACCCCAGGCGCGGGGGTGGAAGACGTGTTTAATACCCGTGCTGCTACTCCCGGCGTCGATAGGGGCAGGGATATTAGTAGTAGGAGTAGCAGGGCGAGGCCAAGACAGATGGTCGTTCTAGACGAGGACGATGACGACGAGTTGGAAATTCTCCGGTAGCAAGTGGAGAAGGGGGGGGTGATAAATATTATCATTATAAGGATGGAAAGCTAGAGGGCATGCATGGCCATCGACAAACACTACGCAAGCAGAATTGAATCTCTACGAAAGACGGCGCGAATGCATTGATGGGATAGTGGATAGGATAAACCAGGATACGGATGCATTGGATCGAATTGATTGATTGATTGATTGATTGATTGATTGAATCAAATGATGGCTTATTGTAGCGCAGGGCGAATTGGAGCGGACAAGCTGTTTTACCTATTTTATTTTTGGACCCTACCTAGGTACCTACCAAGCAGAGACTTGGTTGGGCGGGTTGATTGATTCGATTAATCGTATATATTTGCTATGTCATGTGTATTCATTCTCTTAGTCCATGTGTCTTTCCAGAGTTCGTACCTAATTCAGGGGCAATGGACCGTTGATTTACTTACCAAGCAGTAGTCTGCAGCGATTTGAACCAACGACAGGGGGGCAGGACATGTCGATTCCAGTCTTATATCAAGTATATGGTGTTGAATATTTAAATAATCCACATATAAGTTGTCTTACCACAACGTCAATAAACCTAACTTTGAGAGCCAATCTCGTTTATTTCCTACTAGTCAAAATACATATAACCATATCCTCGAACCGAGCAAGGGACAGTTCAAGCAACACCTACTATATATATATATGTGTGTGTGTGTGTGTACGGAAACAATCATACGACCAAGAAGTCTTGTGTATGCGTATCTTATATACTAAGTCTACAACGAACCAAAGCTACAAGATTCGAAGCGGCAAAGACGGCAAAAGGAACGGACCGGAAAGAAGGACAAAAACCCCGACAACTTAGGACGCATCTTCAAAAGACATGTCGAGTTCTACCATTTTCCTGAATTTCTGCCCCCCTTTTTCCTTCTTTTTGTTGCTTTTTTTTTTATTTTTACGTTGCTGAAAGTATCCCTCGTTCCCAACTCTACTCCGCACCGCCTCTCCTCGACCGAAAAGGAAACGTGGAATGAATTGGAAAAAATGAAATATGACAGGTTCGTATACTGTCTCACCGGTAATGTTTGAGCGATACTATCATTCTGTCACCTCATCTTTGGCCTCTTCAACCTTTTGTACTTGGTCCCCCGACGGTTCCTTCGCGATAGTCTCTTCTAATATCGACTCGCCAGCAGTATTGGTAGCCAGTGTTTTGGTCTCTTCTATTGTTTCTGTTGCCTTAGATTCGTTCTCCGTTTCACTTGGCTTCGAATCCGCAGGCTCGTTTTCTTTTTTGGCTTCCGGTTCGTCTTGCTTGTGCTGCTCTGGCGGTGCCTGTGGTTGTACCTCCTTGGGGTCTTCACTTGTAGCTTCATCAGGCTTGGTTTTTGTTTCTGATGACGCTACTGGCGCTGAGCCGTCTACTATCATGATACCCTCCTCATCTATACTCCACAAAGTGCGAGTGATAGAGAAGCTCAGGGTAGGTTGACCGTTCGACACCGGCGGAAGACCAGATTCCTGGCTGCTTGGGCTGGCAGCTTTAGTCGGAGCTCGTCGTTGGGGACCTCTGGCGCGACCCTTTCTCGCGTCAGATAACGGTGCCTTCTCCTTCTCCTCGGTGGATTCCTGCGTGGTAGAATCTTCCTTCTTAGGGGCTTGAGGACCTAATTGTAAACGTTTATTGAGATCGGACATAAATCCTGCCTGCAGAGCAGCAATCTTGCCACCAGCTGGCCTTGCAGGCACTGCGGGCTTCGGCTTCGCTGTTGGCTCTGGTCCTTTAGACTCAGCGGCGGGCTTC